CCAAACACACACACACACACACATCATATGAGATAAGAGTGTCCCTTTGTAATAGAGCTAGTCTTGTTCATTTTTGATCGATTTTATTTTCAGCTGGCCTGACCGAGCAAATTAAACTGGACCGCTATTTGCATCCACATTTCCGATATTACATGAGGGAGGTCAGAACTGTTGTCTATTCCCAGTTCTTGGAATCCTATAAGAGTGTTACCATTGAAGCAATGGCCAAGGCTTTTGGGGTGACAGTGGAGTTCATTGATCTGTGAGTTGCTGAATTTCATGCTCCTTTCTCACCAGAATTCTTGAGTTATATTACATGGAAGTTTGCATTTAATCAAACTTTTATGTGCCTGCAGGGAACTATCACGTTTTATTGCAGCAGGGAAGCTCCACTGCAAGATTGATAAGGTTGCGGGTGTTCTTGAAACCAACCGCCCTGATGCAAAGAACGCTCTCTACCAAGCAACTATCAAGCAAGGGGACTTCTTATTAAACCGGATCCAGAAGCTGTCACGTGTGATTGATCTTTGAAGTAGGTAGCCATTTGTTGTGATTCAGAAATGATTCTAAAATTCGAGAATCCCAAAGAAAGATGGGGCATAGGGATTTTATGCTGGATGTTTCCTAGTTGAAAGGCGTTTTATTTGTTTCTTTGCCTGAGTACTATTAAGAATCTATGATTGCTGATCATGTGTCTTAGTTTTTAGTTTCTGAATTGAATTCCTTTTCTGGTGCTAATTTTGTCAGTTGGGAGGTTATCCTTTTGCAGCCTGAGCTGCATCCTCTGATAATGAACACTAGTGAAAAATTACCTCAACTGGGCCTATTCGTTTGACATTTATGTTTAACGCTAAGCTGTTGAGGTTATCTCGAAATGTTACGGAGCTGGTTTGCAAGGCCAATATATTTGTGTTATTGAAAGTTGATGGCCATTGTCATGGGAACATGATGCCATTGACGAAGACAGCTGAGTTAGCTAGGATGCTTTGTGTTCTACAGAAGCTGGCATTAGAAGTCATTGTCCAAGCACTTTTGCTTGGCGTATGAAACTAAACTTGAGGGTGGAATGACGCTTCTTAATGAGCATACTTTTACCTGCAAAAGGACGAATGCCAGGATCGGGAAAAATATTCATGTAGGAACACTCATATAACCTAGCTACAATAGCATGCCATTGGTTTTTGCATGCTCGATAGTGTTTTCATGTTCAATCTATTTTTATATTTTTTGTTAATGTTTGGATTTTTTTTTGTTTTAAATTAATGTTGTTCTTTTTTTTTTTACTGATAAATCAATTGATAGCCTCGAATATTTAGAGTCCATGGTCGAGACTATTAAAGGTTATCTCAAGGGCGTTAAGACGAACATGCCGTTAGCTATTTTCTGAAGGACAATGGTCCCAATTAAGACAAATCGAGTAACTTTTCCTGGTCGATATGGTCTTGATATCGTCATGATGAGGTTAAAACGCATGGTCTCATCACCATCATTAAGAGAATTTGGTAAGAAAATATACTTTTACCATGTGATTGCCATCTGTGCAATATTCCGCTGCATTAATTCCGATGGAGGCCTTTTTGTCTACGAGTAGTCGCCATCCCTCTCTCTCTCTCTCTCTCAGGTGCTCGTGGTTCCTGTTATTGCCTTTGTTAGTGTGTAAACTTTTCGAGCCTGTTTGTTTTGTTTTTTAAGTAATTTGAAAACAAATTTTTTTATTTAAAATTATTTTTATTTGTGTTTTAAAAAAATTTTATGGGTTAATATTAAAAATAAATTTTAAAAATAAAAAAATTATTTTAATAAAAAATAATTTTAAAAAAGCAACTATCACAATATTAAACAAGCTAATTTTTTTTACTGAACTTGATTTTAAAAATTTTTTTATTTAAAAACATATTGAATTTCTTTTTTTAAAATATTTTTTTATTGGTTTAATATACTTGAACACTAGTGAAAAATTACCTCAACTGGACCTATTAGTTTGACATTTATGTTTATCGCTAAGCTGTTGAGGTTATCTCGAAATATTACGCAGCTGGTTTGCAAGGCCATTATATTTGTGTTATTGAAAGTTGATGGCCATTGTCATGGGAACATGATGCCATTGACGAAGACAGCTGAGTTAGCTAGGATGCTTTGTGTTCTACAGAAGCTGGCATTAGAAGTCATTGTCCAAGCACTTTTGCTTGGCGTATGAAACTAAACTTGAGGGTGGAATGACGCTTCTTAATGAGCATACTTTTACCTGCAAAAGGACGAATGCCAGGATCGGGAAAAATATTCATGTAGGAACACTCATATAACCTAGCTACAATAGCATGCCATTGGTTTTTGCATGCTCGATAGTGTTTTCATGTTCAATCGATCTTTATATATTTTGTTAATGTTTGAATTTTTTTTTTGTTTTAAATTAATGTTCTTCTTTTTTACTGATAAATCAATTGATAGCCTCGAATATTTAGACCCCATGGTCGAGACTATTAAAGGTTATCTCAAGGGCGTTAAGACGAGCATGCCGTTAGCTATTTTCTGAAGGACGATGGTCCCAACAGGTACAATGTTCGACTCCCCTTTCCCTAGGAATGATCAAAGACAAATCGAGTAACTTTTCCTGCTCCATGTGGTCTTGATATCGTCATGATGAGGTTAAAACGCATGGTCTCATCACCATCATTAAGAGAATTTGGTAAGAAAATATACTTTTACCATGTGGTTGCCATCTGTGCAATATTCCGCTGCATTAATTCCGATGGAGGCCTTTTTCTCTACAAGTATTCGCCATCTCTCTCTCTTAGAGGTGCTCGTGGTTCCTGTTATTGCCTTTGTCAGTGTATAAACTTTTCGAGCCTGTTTGTTTGTTTTTTTTTTTTTAAGGTAATTTAAAAACAAAATTTTTTATTTGAAATTATTTTTATTTGTGTTTTAAAAAAATTTTATGGGTTAATATTAAAAATAAATTTTAAAAAATAAAAAAAATATTTTAATATACTTTTAATAAAAAATAATTTTAAAAAAGCAACTATCACAATATTAAATAACCTAAAAAATATTTATTTTTTTGGCTGAACTTGATTTTAAAGTTTTTTTATTTGAAAACATATTGAATTGATTTTTTTAAATATTTTTTTATTGATTTAATATATTAATATAAAAAATATATTATTTTAATATATTTTTAATTAAAAAATATTTTTAATTACCAAACGTATATAATATTTCTTTTAGAACTCCATTTGATAAATATTTCAAGATTTGGCAATACCCTGCGCTTTTGATATAGGGTAATTTTGTTGCCAAAGGCTGCCAGGAAGGAAGCCTAATGGAACCAAATTATTAATATATTACTATGATAGTTACGCTTGCACTAATTTTCAAGGAGGCAGTGGTACCGACACCAAATCCGAAAACCAAAACCGAGTCATTTGATCATTGCACGATTCTTAACCGGTTTAAACTTGGATGCAACACCCGGAGCTCAGACTAGAATATTTTTAATAGAAAAATCATGACTGTTTTTTATGAGCCGATAAAATTAAACTTTAAAGATTTGATAGGTCAGCATACTTGAAAAAAAAAAAACTCTAAAACTTAAAAAAATATAGTATTTATTCAATGATTATTCTTTAGATTTAAATATTTTTTAAACCTTATCTAAATTTTATATCATACTTATATATTTTTAGATATATATTATTTAAAGAGATAAAGTCTATAAAAATAAGTTCTCACAGACATTTCATCTAATGAAGATGAAGCTCTCTTTTTATAAAAAAATCTAAGATTAATATCTTAAAAATATCTAAAATATTTTATATAAATATCCAATATCTAAATTATAAAACATTTAATATAAAATTTAGTATATTTATAGATATGCATACATATTATATAGAATATATAAAATATCTATTTAGTTTTTTCATGTAGCATATATCTTAAATGGACAGTGATCATTTCCACAGGGCTGCAACCCTTCAATGCATTTTTTTTTTTTAGTGAAAGCATTCCTCAATCAAATTTCAATATCTAAAATATAATGATGAATTTCTTTTTTCTTAAGATGGTTATAAATAAATTATCTACGTCTAAATATTACCTTTTCTCTTACTTACATTGCAATATCCCTAATCTGCGGATGAGGAAATGATAAAATAATCTTATTAAAAGTTCTAGTTGTTAACTTGTAATACACATTTCATCAACGGGTAAGAGAATAATAATTAACCTTATTAAAAGTATTTGTTACTAACTTGTAATACGCGTTTTAAGACATCAGGTTCAGAAGTGGACTCGCATTACCACGAACAAAACTGTGAGGGTTATAAAGTCCAAAACGGACAATATTTAGTAAGTTGGGCTGAATTGTTATATTTTATATCAAAACCTATTTTACTGGTTGTTTGATTATAACAGTGAGGTCATCGGGATTTTAAAAAAGGATAAGTTGTAATATTTTATATTGATGAATGAGGTATTAATAACTGATTTTATTAAAAGTGCTACTTGCCAACTTGTAATACGTGCTTTCAAGCATTATGTTCAGAAATAGATTTACATCACCACAAATAAAATTATAAAAATAATAAAATTTAAAACAAATAATATATAATAAGTTGAGTTATCTACATCTAAATATTACCTTTTCTCTTACTTATATTGTAATATCTTTAATTAGTGGGTGAGGGAATGATAACTGATTTTATTAAAAGTTCTAATTGCTAACTTATAATACACGTTTCATCAATGAATAAGAGAGTGATAATTCATCTTATTAAAAGTATTTGTTATTAACTTATAATACACGTTTTAAGGCATCAAATTTAAAAATGGATTCACATCACTACGAATAAAACTATGAGAGTTATAAAGTTCAAAGTGAATAATATATAATAAGTTGGGTTGAACTGTTATATTTGATACTAAAACCTACCTTACTGATTGTCTGATTATGATGATGAGGTTGTCAGACTCTTTAAAAGGAATAAGTTATAATATTTCATAGGGGTGAGATATTAATAACTAATTTTATTAAAAATGTTACTTGTTAATTTGTAGTGCTTTGAAGCATCAAGTTCAGAAATTAATTTGCATTACCATAAATAAAATTATAAAAACAGTAAAATTCAAAATAAATAATATATAAAAAGTTGAGTGGGCTGTTATATATATCTCTTTTTGACATGTGTGATGATATTTGGAGCAAACTTTTTAAAGGTAATATAATTTAAAATAAAAAAGAGTATAAGCTTTATGCTACTTATTTATTTCAAAAAATAATTGTAAGATATATGAAAATATTCTTATTAATTTTGGTAAACGTGATATGTGATTTTCTCTCTTTTTATTATGTCAATCTCTCCTCTGTAATATTTCTTAACATAAAAGAACGAAGATGGTATAAACGTATTCGGTTAAATATATAGAAATTATATCTTTAGTAAAGTTTTGGAACAATTTTTTATATTTTTAAAATTAAAAAAACTGAAAATATTTTCTTCTCACTTTGTAACCAAATTTTAAGTTATGAGTCTAAATATCGTAGAATTTTTCAATAAAAACAAGGAAAGAGAGCCACAAAAAGGTTAGAAGGAAAAGAGAAAAATGAAAATCTTATCCAAGTGACTCAAACAAAGAAACAATGGCATTTGGCTCTTGCTTTCTTTTCCGTTCACAGTGCACGAAGTCTTACAAGCCAAGCGTTATAAACACATCCTTCCTCTTTCCTTGGAATCACACCTCCTTCTCTTTTCAAACACCTCCCATGCCAAACCATCACTCTTTGGTTCCTCAGCCACAACCTTAAACGCATTCTCTGATCAACATAGTATTTATTATTCCTAGTATCACATCTACCTTTTGTAACTGTAACTACTTATCCCGGAAAAAATAAATCAAACAATACATTTGAAAGACATTGTTATTACTCCATGCCTCCTCTTCTTGATTTTAAAGACATCCAAGAAAAGCTCTCTACTCAGTTTAGACCATGGCAACGTTCTTTTCAGTTCTGGGTTCGTGCTGCTGATATCTACACTGGCTATAAGGTAAGGCTTTTCTCATCTTTTCTTTTCTTTTTTCTTTGTTTTGATACGCGTGAATATGAATGCATGTGGATATAAGTGTGTTAATTTGAATCTTTTCTTTTATTTTTTCTTTGTTTTGATTTGCGTGAATATTAATGCATGTGGATGTAAGTGTGTTCGTTTGCATGTTTAACAGGATTTGGTTAATGGGTTTTGTGTAGGTGTTTCAAGTCAGAGTGAGTTTGGTGAAGGATGAGGAAAAGCAGGAGGCAATGTGGGAAGGACAGCATGAGTTGGCTGCTGAAAAGATTTATGCTATGTGTTCTGATCTCGGTGGGTTCTTTCTCAAGGTAATGTTCATTCTTATAACTTTACTGTGTACGGTCTTTGATCTTGAGAGATTTTTGAAGTTGAATTGTGTACTGAAAGGAGTCTAATTCCATTGAGTTTTGAACTTTTTGCTTTCTTTCTATGCAGTTATCTTTTCAATTGTCTAATCATCGTGTTTCTTCTTGTTTTTCATTAGTTTAAAGATTTTGGTTATTTTTGGCCTAGGGGTCTGAAGGGTGTTCGTTTTTCTGCTTTAGAAATTGTATTAGGAACTGTTTGATTTCTCATCTTTTCAATCCGTTATGTTCCTCTTCATCTTTTCCTTGTTAGTAAGCTTTGTCTTGCCACCCACACAGCCCCCCCCCCCCCCCCCCCTTTTCCTTCTTAGTAAGCTTTGTCTTGCCCCCCACACAGCCCCCTCCCTTTTTTGCCTTTTGCTGTCCATTTTGATTATTGGTTATTGGTTGGTAATAATGTTTATGTTGTTTAGGTTTGAGAGAGAGCTACATTTTACTATATACTTTTTGTAATTAATTTTACTGGATTTAAATTAGATTGCCCAAATCATTGGGAAGCCTGACCTGGCTCCAGCAGCATGGGTGAGAAGGCTTGTTACTTTGTACGATAGAGCTCCAGCAACTCCATTTGATGCTGTTAAGCTTGTGCTGGAGAAAGAGTTAGGTCGAAGCATTGAGGACATTTTTGAAAGATTTGATGTGGAACCTCTTGGTTCTGCCTCAATTGCACAGGTAATGCATTTAATTTAAAATATCTGCCTGGCTAGAAGGATAGATGTTTCATGCTATACATGGTTTTATTCATAATGGAATTATCTGGAATCTAGAAATTTGCTGGTGGTAGACATTGGAATATAAGTTGCTTTCGATTATCATCTGTGGTTTTGAAGTTGAAGAGCTGGTTACTTCAGAACAGATCACAGTTTACTGCATCATGTGTATCTGACATGTTTTCCCTACCAAATTAGGTTCATCGGGCAAGATTGAAAGGTGA